GAGTGAAAGGTACCCCAACAACTCCTCTACTCCTAGCACATACTCACATCGGCACGTGTAAGGGGCGGTAAACCAGCCTACCCTCGGAACCTTGGCCGAAATAAGGTCCCGTTTCTCTGATCTCGACAGTTTCTCTTTGTTTCTTCACTGCGCGAACAACTGGCACCCCTGCTTTCTTCGGCATCGAGTTGCCGCGAATGCAGCGCCTAACCATTCCTCGCCTCAAGAAGGCATCAAACCCGCAACTCTCTCTAACATACTGCTTTAGCAAAACGAGTGTGTGCTACGCGACTCCTTATGACGCCTGCTGTTAATGCTTAGTGAATCTGTGAGCCTATAATCCCCTCCCTACTTTTCGAGAAATCTGCACACAAATGTTCTGTGACGGCAAGCGTTCATCGTTCCTATGCATGAGTGATGAACATCAGCTCCTATTTTAGAACCAGGAACGGATCCTCAAGGATTCTCAACATTGTTTAAATAAAAATAAAAATTATTCAGTACATCTGCAGATTAAATATGCTCTCATGAGTCATAAGGCTTCATTTGATCTGACCTTGAGAAGTGAATCTTACCCATCAACAGGTTTTCCTGTCTTCATGAGCCGGTAAACATTGAAGTTTTTCAACAGGATTCGACATCTTAGACGCTTTTTTCACATTCCTTCTTGACGCATCACTGGGAGCCATTTCTAAGTAGAGGGAAGAATATTTAAGGAAATCGCCAAAGAAAAGCACGAGTTGAAACGAAAAAAAGACCAATCACGATACATGCGTGTGGACGACCACAATAAGCCAGAACGACAATAAATCTTTACTCTCATTACATTCATGCAAGAATTGAACAACAGTCTATTTCAAATTATACAAGAGCGTACGCAAATAACGCGCCGTACTGGTCATCTAATTACCTAGTAGCACAGGAACAGAATTAATGAGGTGCGAAGGAGGCATGGTGTCTGTGAGAGACACAGAGAAAGGACAATCCGATCACATATACAATCGGATCCCAAGTACCAGTAAACGTTAAAACTAGCTTAGAGCATATCTACCTACTCTACGTAAATCACATATGGTCAAATATACTGACAAGACTAGTTTTGCACAGGCGGTCATAAACTGAAACGATTCGCCACAACCACACGTGCCTTTGATGTTTGGATTTCTGAAGACGAATTCGGAACTCAATTTATCAGTGATGTAGTCCATTTCCGTTCCCAAGAGCCCAAGACTGAGCTTGGCTCTACTCCATATCGAACCATCCTAAAAACACAATATGTTCGGTGCAAAATTGTAACATTGCGCTACACCTGTTCGATTCTCATCAAATCTGCCTTTTTTTTGATAATCAACGTATAGGTAAGCCATTACATCTCTCTGCGCGACCTAATCTGAAAAAATTGATAACCGAAAGGACCCTCTGACTGCCTACGAGCTACCAGCATTAAGATAAGCCTCTGGACTTGCTATCACATTATTTACCCGGGGTATATTATGCAATCTACTTTTTCCATCCACAAGGATACATATTCAATGATGGCAATTCTTGTACAACTGTTTCTGTCTCTATCACTACTCCACAGGAGGGGAAGGGGAGGGGGTCTTCTTCTACATTTCAAAAGGAATTGATTTCATTTTGCTCAGTTCTAACCGAATGCTCCGACTGATCTGTAGAACACATCCATCTGATCAGGGAATTATAGAAGAATGCCACATAAACATGGTGCCACAGTTCAAACTCAAAGGGCGCATCGGGACCACTACGGGTTATGAAACGCTCCATTTACTAGTTACAGGGCCTGCTATTCAGTCTCTAGAAGCCATCCATTATTGTGTGTAAAAACACCATAAACCAAAGCGCCGCCCGTAATCTGTGCGCAAAATGACTACCAATAGAACAATGACCACCACCCGCCCTTCCTCCCCCCTGAATATGTGTAATTGAAATTAGCCCCATTCGCTCGAGCCTCGCAAAGCTTATGTGTATCAACTCTAAGTACAGGTATAGGTGTTTTACCCTGATGAGCCTGCCTCCTGTTCCTTCTCAGAAGAGTCGAACTCGTTTACGTTCAGGTCAAGTAGTGCAGCTCTCACAATCATGTATCTACCGATACTGTGACGCGACAATAAACTTCGCAGCATTACCTTAGCTGTAGCTCATGACGCGAGTTGGCTTAATCCTTGCCATTCCTTTGACAACCCGGGCAGTCGCGCCAGCTACCTTCGACATCGCCGAGAAGCTCCAAAAAGGCTAGAAGTGGAGTAGAAATCCTTGTTGCTTTGCTAATTCAACGTCGGCACTGTAACACAAAATAACGAAAAGAAGTGTCAGAAAATGAATATTACTATAGCATAAGGATCAAAAACGATCAAAATGTATTATTTATAAACAGCGCAAAGCAATAACCACGTAAATAAGGAACTCTTTATAAAACCTTTAAATTTGATGAATTCACAGAGCTGGTTGTACAAACTGTCGTTCTGAGAAAGTAAATCACATAAAAAATGCATCGACATGCATCGATGCAGAGGCAGCCAGAAAATAACCGCAGAACAATATCAATCTCAAATGAGCAAGGGAATATAAAACTGAAGTACTTATCAATCATGTGAGACCTTCAGACAAATAACAGTACTGCTTGAGGCACTGTGCCGATATTCCCGTAATCATTATACCGAACAGTGCACATGTCAGCTGGTCCAAGATTCACGATCGTTGCCAAATAATACTATAACAACAGAACCTTTGATTGATCGTAAAAATTAATACGAAAACCTTACCATTCCATCATTCCATGGCGCTTTGCATTGGTCACCCACTTTCCACCTCGGCACGGAAAACTGTGGATTCAGAGAGGGACCACTCCTTGAGAAAACAGATTTCTGCGACTCAGGCCGCCGAGAACCACTACCAAGACGCATATTCGAAAAATCTAGAAATGAAATAAAAGCGGTAAAAAGGTAAGAGAGGTCAAAGAGGTAAGGAATGAATGTTTGGTGATGATCATCAATTTGCTCTCTCTCTATGATGCGTCAAAGCTCTTTACTTTCAACAGTGTTATTCAAATGCGCATTTGGCCCTATACAGTGACTTGGATGGGGAATTGCAGCTTTCTCTTTGACGGATCTGCTATCATGGAAGCGACCGTAAAAATGATATCCTTGATTGCCCAGGAATCTGCTCGGTCTGAGACTAGATCTCCAGGTCATGCATTTGGTAACCGTGAAACTTGTGTCGGGGCCACTTTCGTCATTTCTGCATGTGAAGATGAGAAGCCCAAGCCTAGAATGAGCAACCAAAAACCTGTCTGGAGATGATACTCGATGTCAGACTAATTTCAGGGATGAAAATAGTGATTTATTATTCACCGGCTGGTCTCACAAATCACTATGCATGCCGAGTTCGCAATCAAAGCTACGCAGTTTCAAATGTAAACCGGATACCTCGTCCCAGAAGGTACTTATTAACGCCGGTAGCTTTGTCTTTCCTGTATATAAAAAGTTCCCTTTCAACGAGATGATTTTGCGGAGGTTTCGACGATGAGTTGAGAACAGAATAACTCCTTTGAATTCTATTCGCGGATGAAGAAGGAAGAGGATATCTAAAGAATTTATAATGATATAAATAGTTCCATCGGAAAGATATAGGAAACTTAATTTAACAACTTACTCCTTAGGATCGTTGGTAAAACCACTCTGCTTCTGCTTATAGGATTGGCTGGAAGCATTTTGTGCTGAATTGGTGAACCGCTGCTGGGGTTTCTGATTGTGTTGCTTGAGACCGATTATTTTCTACGTAGTTATCATGACGGTTGGTGGTAACGTCACGGGATTTCTGGTCATAGCCACGGTTTCCTCCGCGAGACCCTGGGTGCGTTGCGAATTCACGTTGCCCCTTCTTCCGGTTTGGAATAGTTCCCCTTGTAATTCGTACTTCCTGAAAAAAATTTGCTTGGATTGGAACTACACATTGAGGTATGTTTATACCTTTGTTCGTTGGCCTCGGATCAGGATGAGAATTCGCCTGCTGCCTTGAAAACTGCCCGCTCGCTCGAGGTGGGTTCGCTGAGTTATCACTCGACGTGTGAGGCTGTAAGCATAGATTATAGCAACTTATCGAAGTACGCATGCTGACACGGAGTGCAAAAATGCGCCATGAAGATACCGAACACATACTCGCAGAGTATTCAGCACAGAGTGCGTCTATACTCAGCAACTTTGCTCAACCTTCCTGCGATTTTTTTGAGATACTGAAAGCACGCCGAGCATACACACACTCCATGAGAAGTTCCACTATCCGTATGAGTGAAATTCGGCAAAACAACATAGTTAAATGGCAACGACGGAGAAGTGCGACACGCAATGGTCTTGTAAAGCTGCACTTTTACTGGCCATGCGTAGCGGTCAAAAGTTCGTCCAGTATTGCAATTAATGCTTAAACACTCCTGGAGAGAGTAGAGAAAGGAAACTACATAGATAAGAGTAACGTACTGCAGGACGACTATCATCGGCATCAGGAATGACGTTACCGGCAACAAAATCGAATAAGGTAGACGGCTTGGAAGGGCGGGCAAATTCGGCAGGTACCTGAAACGCGCATTCTTCAAACAGTACTTTCAGGGCAACTGATAAGGGTTTGACACTCCGCTACGAACACAATGGGGTCTTTCAAGCAAATTGCGAACCAAGGAGTTAAAATCAGATTACTTATAATAGAACTGATAGATCTGATTGAGGCTGCCTCTTTTAGGCGAATTATTCCAGGAATAGGAAAAATTTCTTTTTTTCCTAAAATTTCAAAAGTTCGTTGAGAGGCCTATGCACTTGATGCAGTCTTCTCAACACTTCAGGTATACACGGGTGACTGATGGTGCGTTGCGTTCTTGGTGTCTTGCGTTTTTGTCCGTTAGCCGGATGGTTGCTTGCGTTTTGATCAACTGGCATGGAACTCTGGCTTCTTCATAATGAC